ACTCATTTCTTTCCCCCTGTTGCTACTGAATCTAAAAATTAAGCCTGTTGCCTTGCCCAATTGAGTTACCTTAGACTTGATTCAGTGACCTAATAATTCTCCAAGAGTGAGGTAGCATAACATATACATAGCTCATAACCCAGTGAAATGTCCTTTGAGTCCCAGAGGCTCATCTGTGATCCAGCACTGAAACTGACACTCAGAAGGAATTTTAAGACAGGTAAAGGAGGTTTTACTCATGTAACTCAATTTAGGGCATCTCAGTTAGCCAGTGACATTGGGTGGCTAAAGTTGAACACCCCCCTTTTGCTTTCCCATTGTCATCCTTGAAGTTTGGCTAGTCCTGGAAAAGGTGGAGCAGACTACAAGTTGTGAGTTGTATAGTATTGGGGTCTGTGGGATAATGGTACCCTTTGTGGAGAATGCAGACAGGCTTTGCTCAGGGATGTACTTGTAACTAGTACCTCTGATTTTTGACATCTAGTAACAGTTCCTGAGATTGCTGTGTCTTTTAAAAACTAATACAAACTGAACTAAGTCAAGTCCCATGAGTATAGGTATCAAAGTAGGAACTATTGGATAATCCTAGATAATCATAACTATTAGAAAACAGATTTGGGAGAAACATGGTAGTCCACAACTGGCAAAATCCCTGCAGAGATCTGTCAGTCTGAATAAAAACCAGGGCTGCTTTTGACTCCATACAGATGGAGAACATGAAGGCTTGCAAGAGTAGTAGAGCCTTATACAGAGCAGAGGTCTTAACTCCTCACCACAAGAGGTATGCACAAATAACCCTAAACATCTAATAGCTGGTGTCCCAAGAAGGAGACCATTGAAGGGGGAAAGGTCCAAACCAGAATAAAGCTGAGTAGAGGAGTATTTACCTCAAAATTCCCAGGAGCTTTTAGTTTCTTTTTATACTGTCTGTACTTTTTGAGTTGGCCTAACTAAGTGGCAGGGTAAGAAAGGAAAAAATGAGCCTGGATTTAGCAAAATAGTAAGATGTCTCTCTCAAGGTGGAGAAGACTGAGCCTAGTAGCTAGGGTTCCATAAAATACTGAACGAGCTCAGATCCTAACCTGAGTGGAAGTCCCATAAGCTGTGCCCTGTCCCAGATTTCATTTGCATCCCTCTGGTCAGTGTGACACCACAACACTTGCTTTAAAGAAAGAAGATTTTTGCTTCCCTATGTGTTATCTCTGCTGAAAAAGATGTCTGACACCATTTTGTAGGGGTTTGTGGTTTTTTTTAATCAATAAAGACTATTTATACAATATTTGGTCCCATGGGGCCAAATTCATAGAACTGTAGAATGGTTTGTTTGGGAAGGAACTTTAAAAATCATCTAGGGCCAGATACAGGAGCAGACACTCTGCTCAGGACCACTTTGGCTCTGCTTTTTCCAAGTGCCTGAGACCCTGAGCTTGAGCCTAAACAAACACATCAGCTTCTTCAGAAAGTTTCTACGCCAAGGACTAATGAATCTGTCTCATATTTGCTGCACACCTAGAAAAATCAAATTACCTTGAATCAACTTACAATACTGCACAACACTCATGGCTGTTGTTAATATGATGTGAGCCAGAAGTTTGTGTTTGGCTTATACTCTTTAGAATGGAAGACAATGGAGTGGAAAGAATGAAGTGGAGACAGCAGAGTGTGTGGTGTCACCAAACATCTGTACTGCTGAAGATACAGTCTAGGGAAGTACCTTTAAGGGGAGCTGACACTCACGGAAATTGTGCCAATGTGTAAAACGCTCCTTTCACGAAACATGCAAAGCCAATAACTTTTTCCATGGCTTTTCAGAAGTCAGATGCTAGTTAAAACCTGTGGATATGTGTACATTCCTCTATACGGATAATTAGCTACTTTATGTGTGGTGCCTCCTCGATTAAAGAAAATTCTTCTATGCAAATAAGTGGAATAGACTGGTCAAATTTATATGTGGAAAAAACCCTTCTTTTATATAAATACGTAGAATTTATTTAGGTGAGTTTCTTACTTCATAGACAAGTGTTAGTTCCTAGACAGCTCCTGGCTATTTAAAATGTTCACCCTTCATTGTCCTTTTAAGCAATGCCTATATACAAACACTGAGGAGGAACAATTGATTTTGACAACATGCTTAAACAAATGACACAAAACCACATGTCTTGGAATTGGCTTTTTTGCTTTTTCCACTAAATGATCAAGCCCTGTCCAATTGGAATCAATGGCAAAATTCCATTGATTCAATAGGGCCACATTTTCACCCTACCCTCTTCTTTTTCAGTAATAAGTAGATTTGGCCCAAGTTTGTCTGAAGATACTGCTTTAAAAGTATTTCTTCTGCTCTACTGAATAACAGAGTGCATTGATATTTAAGAATGAAAGCTCATCAAGTTTAAATTTCAGTTGTTTCATAATAATAGCCATATGTTAGTTATAGATTGTGTAAGTCTGAAGTTTTGGTAATTTAAAACTGCTTTAAAGTGACCTTTACGTGGTTCACATTTCAACGTTTTCTAAAAGCAGTCCGTATCGGTCCTTACTCATAAATCCTTACATTAAAAGAATCTGCAGGCCCGGGCCCTTAGTAAACAGGCTTACAGTAAGGAAGTGCTGTGAACATTTATACACTTGACCTCACAAATCTAGTCTTCACAATGAAATCAACGTAACTGCTCTCAGAGGACAAAATCAGACCAGGATGAAATGTCAACTAAGAAAGGCCACTTACTATTGAAAACGGGATGGGAAGCAAGAGGGACCTCCAGACTGACCTGATACAGTTGTTACATTCTTCTCTAGTTAAATAGTGCAAGAAAATAAGATATAGTATGGGAAATACTTTTTTTTTTTCAGTAGTGGCTAGTCAGGCTGGGGAGGCAGAGATACTGTGGGCAGCATGAGGCTGTAGCTCAGCTCCACTACCACTGCCTGGTGCTGCCATATGATTTCTCCTCGATTTCTCAACCACACTGCAGATGATCTTGTCTTTTGTTTGGGGTGCTCACATGGCTGCAATTTCTTATTTCTTTGCAGTGCTCCATTTCCTATTCACCTCCATTTGTGTGCCTTTCCTTACATAACTGAGAACTTTCTAAAAAGCCATATTATTCCTGTTGTCCTCCGACTTTCTATCTGACTGAATATTTCCACTGTTATAGTAAAGGTGTTTGATTTTTGGTATTTGAGGCTTTTCACATCAAATACGAGCACTTCAAGTGTTTTTATTTTGATAACAGGGAAACCAAGGCACATCAGCTAAAGCTATTTGCCAGACTATATAGCATGAGCACAGCAAGATACAGACTAGCACTAAATCTCCTGATCCTTCCCTCTAATGCCTTGGTCTTTAAGCATTCTTTGGAAAATAAACTAGCAGAACTAAAAAGAAGATTAAAAATGTGCCACACTCAAAATAAGATCAAAACAAGTTTTGACACGCTGACAAAAAGGAAATGCTGATTGAAGTCTGCTTCAAATTGATTGATATCTTAATAGGCCTCTAGCTTCTGTGGAATTTTGTTACTTCACCCATGACATTAAATGTTAAAGTGCTATATGTGCAGCACTTTTCCCCTGAAGAAGAAAAATATCATTCACCTAGCAGCTGATGAGACTTCCTTTTCTTTTGGTGTACTACTATCTTTAATGGCTACTTTTCCAGAATTTAGACCCTTGATATATTTGAACCTAAATTAGATGTTTTCAGTGAAAATACACAATGCAGCAGATAGACATTGGGAATCCATACAGCCCATGGCAGCACAGACAGATTACAGGTGTGAATGCACACCTGTCCCATGTGCAGTGCTTCCCACTCCAACATCCATCGAAGCACCATGGGGCACAAGAGAACCAATGCCAAAAGTAGCAAGGACCCAGTTGTAAATAGATATAAAACCAAGTGCTTTTTTGCTCTAAATTAATAATATATGAAAGAAAAGCTATCCAAGAATTGCAATCAGTTGCTCCATTTTTTTGAAAAATAATTCATGGCTGTATACATTAAGGCGCTGAGGCCACTGTATCTTTCGTAAAATGCACAGGGGTGCATTCCAGAGGGACCAGACGGAGTGATTTTAGCGGTGCGACTTGGACACTCTCAAGGCACCCTCTATGGAGCTGCATTTCCCGGGGACAGAGGGGCGGCGGGTGCCCGTTCGGCCGTGCCCCTCTCGCCAAGCAGGCGGCAGGAAACGGCAGGAGAAGGAGGGAGGGAGTGACGGAGACCCTCGGAGAAGCCCCATTGTTTAGATTTCTGTCACAAGCCACGAGAATACTTAATTTCTTTCGTCTCTGGAGTTTTCATTATCATTCAAATTTCATTTTCCATTAATTGATCGGGGATTAGCGAAGCCATTATGCAAAAATTAAAAGACAAGGCAAATGCGATGAATAATTTATGAGGGACAATTACACTTTATTCCTGGTGCACTTCCTAACTTCCCTCCGACTCCCCGCCTGCTGCAGATGACAGCCTTCCCCCCCTCCCTCCCGGCCGAGCGGAGCCGGGCCGGGTGCGGGCAGCCCGAGGCGCCCCCGGGCGCTGCCGCCGCCCGCCGCCAGGTGTCAGGCGCCGCCCGCGGTGCGCGGGGGGCCGCGGAGGCGCCGCGCTGCTCCCGCCGCTCTCACGATCCTTATCGGAGCGACCGCCAGCGCGCTGGGCTCGGGCGGCAGCGGCGGTGCCTGCCCGCTGCCTGCTCCCTGCCTGCATCCCGCACCCCCTCCCGCCGCCGGGCAGCCGGCCTGGAGCGGGAGCAGCCACGGGCGCTCCCCGCCCTCGCCCCATCATCCTCGCGTCCCACACCCCTCACACCGGGCATCTCATTTATCCCACCGGACAGTTGTTGCCCCATTAAAGTGCAGTCCCGCCCTTCGCGGAGGACCTTTCATCTGGGGAAGTTTTATGACACTTTGTAAATGTGCAAAGTTTTTAATTAGACTCGCCAGACAGCCCCAGGCAGCACTAGCGCCACGAAGTCTTCATGCCGCTCTCTGCTTTACAGCACAACAAGCCGCTCTACTCCTTTGAAGACAATGCCGACTATGTCTACGATGTCATGTGGTCGCCAGTGCATCCCGCGCTCTTCGCCTGCGTGGACGGGATGGGGCGCCTGGATCTGTGGAACCTGAATAACGACACCGAGGTGAGGCGGCGCGGCGGCGGCCGGCGGTGGGGAGGCGAGGGCGGGCGGCGGGGCGCCGGGGAGACCTTAACCCTGTGAGGGCCGGCGGCTCTGCCGAGCACCCCCTCGCCGTCCTCCCCGCGGGCTCTGCGGGAGCGCCGCGCTCCCTCGGGGCGATGGCAGCCCGGCGTCGGCCGCTCCCGCGCCCCGGGGCGCGGCGGGAGGGGAGGGCACGTCCCGCTGCCGGGGGCTCCCGCCCGCCCCCCTCCCGCGCCCGCCTTCCCTCTCTCCCTCCCTCGCGCGCTCCCTCCCCTGCGGCGGGGCTGCTGCGCTCGATACCTGTCAGGGGCGGGAGGGCCGACTCCGGCACCCCCGGCAGAAAGCCAACACAATTAAATGCCGCGGTGCCGGCTCGGGGAGGAGGCTCCCTACCGCTCTGTTATTTTAAGGTGCACTTTTTAAACCGCGCCCGTTCTGCAGGTTTTTTTATCCCCTCCCCCCGTTTCTGGTGCTCGACGCTCCAAGCGCCAGGTTTGCGATGCCCGCCCTCGCCCAGGTGGTCACACCTTGGCAGGCCGGCCACAGGCTGCCAGCGGGGACCGAGGCGCCGGGCAGCCTTTCGCCAGGGCTCATGTTGCACTGGGAGATTTCATTTCTCTCCCTATTTATTATCCTCTGCTCCAAATTCTCTGGAGATTATAACTTGGAAGCCCCGTACTGGTGCCTCCATCGAGTCAGAAACCCAGTGTGTGCCCCTGCATCTCTCCTCGCCTCCCACCTTTGAGTCGCTAGGTACCCCACTTCAGTCTTTTAATGCACAGGGCATCTGTCTCTCATGTTATTTGGTACTTTATACCCTCACCTTTCTTTTCCTTAAACTTTGCTGTGGAACTTAAAGGCACAAGTGTAAGTGACAAATAACAAGTTTTCTTTCCATTGTTATTAACTAAATAGTGGGAGGAATTATTATTAACTAACTGGGGAGGAAACATCTCACCTTCGAATTCTGCGGATGAGAAAGGATTAATCAGAGTGCTTTTAGCAAAGATTGAGGCTGGTAAACACTGCATTTTTAAAAAAAAAATATTTTAAATGTGCCAAACACCCTTTTTTTCTCCTATTATTTCAGATTTTTAAAAATGCCAGGAACTACTTTATCTGTATTTGAGTTTCCCCCAAAAATGTTTTTGAGAAAACCTGTCACATCACCTGAAGTCAGTCTTAGATAGCCAGCAATCAGTATTCACGAGAAGTGAAGTATTTTTCCACACACAAAGTCTTGCATGGTTTTACTTAATGCAATGTAAAATTAAGAACAAACAGACAGTAAGAAAATAAAAGGTCACGTATTCGCTGACCAGTTTCTTTTTATGTCCAAAAAAGAGAAGACAAAAGAGCAAGCAACAGCATTTTTCTCCATACACTCTATTTTTTTTTTATTATTTTTTTAAGATTAGTTTGACCATTACTACGCCTTTCCTGTAAACATGCTATGCATTTCAGACAGAATAAAATACGGGTGCAGTTTATGGCTTCGAGTGAGTGGTGCTTGCCATAAATAAGCACAGACAGGTAAGAGGAACCAGCACCGGGCACTGCACTGTCAAGGGGAGCAGTGAGGCCTTTTGAAGTGCTCTGAGCAGGAAGCAGTGCAGCCTTTTTAATTAGAGCACATACAGCTGGAGGATATACAGGAGGAGTCTCCTCAGAATTTATTTTGGGAAGGGAGGGACATATCCTTCAGGTGTTCTCATTAATGCAGGCTTAAACACAGAGCATAAACCCCAGCATTTCGCGAAGAAAAAAAAATAACCCTTTCCCCCCAAATACCGGGGCTGAAATCCTGCTCTGCTTGAAATCAACTGATGTTTTGCCATTTCACCCAATGAGACCGTAACTTCTTTCCAAAAAATTAATATGGACCGCTTGATCCCATTCCCATCAATAGCAAGGCTGTACATAGCAAACTGCTGTGCATTTTCAGTGTGTTTACATATAAATACATAGGAACATCAGAAAAAAAAATTAATTTCAAGCTCGATCTTGCTTTTATTCTGCATGCAAGGCCACCCGTGATTTCACAAGTTATTTCCGTTCTGAGAGGTCAAAATCAACTCTCATGTGAGGATCAGAATGGAATTATTTCCGTGATATCTGAGCTTTGTATTTTTATGAAAACCGACTTTGGGTCTCTGGATGCAGAAATATCATTTGGTTTCCTTACTGAGCATGGATGAAACAAATTAAAAAATCTGTATAAATGATGAACTGGCAGATTCTGAATAGCTGTGACGTTTGGTTATGCAGGAGAAGCAGCAAAAGTACCTCTGAAAGACAGAACTGTAAACAGTTCTTCTGAACATTGTAACTGAAAGTGATTGTTGTTTGCTTTTACCCTCTATCTGATAGGTCATAATTAGTTAATAATTTTCAAGAAATCTGTAATTGATTACACCGTTTAAGTCTGCACAGCTATTTGCTAAGAAAAACTCCTTGTCAGCACTTTTGCCTTTGTAATAAGAGATCTTGAAACACCTATTTTTAAAATCATTATTACTTTTAGATGTCAGATATGTGATGTCAAAGTATTTGTGAAGACAGTAGAAAATGACAGGTCTATTACTGTGTTTAACTGCTAGCTATTGATAAAAATCTCTGCATTAGAACTAGATGTGATTGTTATTAATGAGTCCTGGTTTTGTTTAATATGGGGAATAAGCTGTATTATTCTTTAGGTGTTATTTTGAAAATCAGTTAAGAAGAAAACACCTGGGTTTAGTTACAGTATGCTACCTTGAAATTTTTTAACTGCAACAGTGTTTCCACTAGCGTTACTCCCCATATTTATTAAAAACATTTTTCCTGAGAGGTAGATATTTTCTGATCAAAATAACTAAGATCATTTGACTGTACCACGGGTTTAATCACTATAAATTCTCAAAATCCCAGTGCAAACTAGTAAGGCTATCTGTGTATTTCATATTGATCTCTGAATATCAGAAATTGTTTTTGTAATAGCAATGAAAATAGTCACGTTTTCTTTTATATCTGATAAATTAATGTAAAAAACCTTTAAAAGAAAAAAAACCCTTACCCACTGCGTCATTCTTTTGCAAACTGAATATTATTTTTATGGATCGGTATAGTGAGGTTTGCAAATAGTTTCAGGATAGCAAATGCCGATTTCTTACATTTGTGTCTGTATTTCTTTTTTGATCAAGACTGGAGAAGATCTCTAGGTGATTGAGGAGTCTGTCTATGAACTGATATGAAACTGACTTAGAAAGTTGCTTATTTCTTCTGTGTTATATCCCATTTAAATGTTTTTGGGGTTTTTTTTTGCATACCATACCTTAGCTTTGCAATTGTGAGGATGGTATCTATATCTAGAAACAGATAACAGATGTATTTGCAAGCAGGTTTTGACACTACATAAGCAGTAAAAATAACAATATAAAAGCTATACTCTTATCATGCAAGTTTTTTTGACTGCGTCTTTCTTAATCTGTTATCTGTTAAAATTTCATTTCAAAATTGTTAAAAATTTGACAAGCGAAAACTTCAGAGAATTTATATAGTATTTCAAATGTGATTTTTAAAAACATAATGCTACCATTATAAGTAAACTCTTATCTTGAAATCTAAAATAGGCATGTGTAATTTAACTTATCACTACTGAGAACAGATAAATCTATTTTAAGATACCATGGGTTTACTATATTTCTCTCTGTATCACTGGAGAAAAGGCTTTTTATTTAGATTTTTAAAGACTTTCATTACTGCTTTTTATTTGGTTAGACAGCTTTGCGGATTAGTAACAGGATTTTTCAAAATCATTGGGTTTTGAAAAAAATCATGGGTTGTGTCTTGTGTCTGTGGCACGCATGCTGCTTATTTTTATGTGGAACACTGAAAAAATGCTGTATTCACAAAAACAAAAAAAAAAAAACCCAACCAAACCAAAACCCAGCTTTAGAGTTATGTATTTCAATCTCCTGAAAGATTTTGTGAAAATTCAGTGTCTTAAATATACACTATATATTTGTACACGAAACAAATATCTTTGATTTACAGTTTTCTGAGAATTGTAGCTGCTTAGTGGCTTAGTCCTCTACAATGTGGCATTTAGTTTTTTGAAAAATTCTGTTTCCAAATGTTATGAAATTAATTTTGGCTGGAATTAAAATAGCCTTTTTTTTTTCCCCCTAGAAATCGGTGATCGCAGCAGCAAAACTTGCTAGTTTTCTACTGTGATTTTTATCATGGATCAATGACTCCCTGTCAGCTTAAGGCCATTGACTCTCACTTAGGTAACAGACTTGGGACGAGGAGTTAGTGCGTGCCAGTTTTTTTGGGTGATACTGCCTTGGACAGGACCTAGGCCTTGCACAATGGGGACATGAATCCGGTAGTTATTTGCATTTGAATGACTTCTTAAAGGGAGGAGGATGGTATCTGCTTTCTGATTGCTATCCAACATTATTTCTACATCATTTTGCAAACAAAACCCTCTTGCATTCCACATGTGGGGCTCAGGACAGTACCGTGAACCCCTTTGCAGAGGTGGAGCTTTAGCTTTGGTGAGTTCGTCCTGCTTGAGGTTCCAGTTGGTTTTGCAGCTGTATCAGGGTCGGTGAGGAGGAGCAGGGAGCCTCCAGGGGGAGAGGGTCAAGGGAAGCAACCCTGTTTCCCAGTCCTTGTCCAGCTGCTGGCGCGGCAGCACACACACTGCAGCTGTAACAAGAGTCTCAGCAAGTCTGCAAAGGTTGAGCTTCCTGCTGTCACTTCATTGTGTCTTGTGTGACACAATGAAGGCACTAGAGCTGAGGAGAAGGTGACTGGCATGGAAGCTGTACAATGTTTACTGAAAAATTATTTTTCTCCTGGATTGTTGGACCTATCTCACAAGGACAATATAAAGCTACAGCCACAGAACAAAGATGAAGTTAGCAAAATACTGGTTTTGTTAATCTTGCCAGTTTGTCAATGTTCAGACTAGGCTTTAATAAATACGACCTTGAAGTTGCTCTCTTTCTTTCTGCTGCATTGTGCTGACAGTGAGAATGGAAGGAGTACCTGTCACTCCTCCCAAGTAGCCTGGACTCTGATTCCTGCCCAGCTACCTCTTTTTGCCTGGACTGCTCTCCAATTCTGTGCCCATTTATAGATTCCAGGGCATTCCTTTGTCCTCATCTCTCTGTGTGACCAAGACATTTTCCCAGCACATGGATCTGGTGGAGGAGCTGCTTTTGCAGCTATCCTCTCCCATTTGCCCTGACCTAAAAAGCACTGAAACTAAACAGCCTTGTTTGGAAGACTGTTATGCCAAGCTACAGGCTCCTTGCTCAGGCAGGTTCTTCTTTTAAAGGCAGCTGGGTGGAGCATCAGCAGGCTTGCAGGTTACCGTCACTTGTCTTATGAGGTGACCTAAATCAACTGAGTGATCCACCTATCTGGGACAAACACCCACAGAGTTCCTTCCTTCTGCAGCATCTTTTGATGCCCTCATTCCAGCATAGATTACAAATACTTCTCCTATGATCATGTTCGCTGCTTTATTCATCCCACACATTAACCAGAATCTTTATGTATTCTTGTGGATCACCTGTTAAGTTGGTTGACTTGGGGCAGGGAGGGGGGTTTGGAAATTAGACAGCATCCAAGTGTATTTAAAGCATAAGTAATCTCCTGGGGATGTAAAAGAGAATTGTGGGAATATATTGTAGGAGTTCCTAAATGTCAGCTCAGCTGTTCTCACTTCTGCTGTGTCCTCACTCTAAAGTGATTAGCTCAGGACTTTTCTGACATAAATACTTAAGTTTCTGCCTCTGCATCTAGCTGCAGAGGTGAGTATGGATTCAAAAGATGTGTCAGCATGAATACAGGGATGTGTCTGCTGACCGTCAGGTTATCCAGCCTGAGTCAGAGTCCAGAAGCCAGGGCAGGACTAAAGCTAAGTCCTACCCTCAGCTGGTTCTTGGTCATCTTAGTGACTTTGAGAAAAAAAGCAGATGCAGTTTTGCATGTTTCCAGGATTAAGGGGTAAAAAACCCTTTCATTTACAGCCCTTTCTCACGGAAAAGTCTTGCCTGCTCTTGCAATCTCTTAGTCTTTCCTCTTTTTAGCACATGTGATCAAAGAAATAACGAACCCTTTTTTTTTCTCCCCCTACTGAGGGTTGTGTGTTTCTTCCAGCAATGCCAAGGGACTTTGGCTCACCCAACTAAGCAGGACATTCAAAACTGACCCTGGGTTTGTAGGCAGTGTGATTTTATTGTCCTTCCTGTTCCTATTGTTTCAACAGGTTCCCACAGCCAGCGTCACCATAGAAGGAGCCTCTGCCCTCAACCGTGTCCGCTGGGCCCAGGCTGGGAAGGAGGTAGCAGTTGGTGATTCAGAAGGCCACATATGGATCTATGATGTTGGAGAGGTATTATTGTTTTGGGGGGTTTCGTGGGTTTGGTTTGGCTTTTTGTTTGTTTGTTTGGGTTTGGTTTGGTTTGTTTGTTAAATTCATCCTGGGGATTGAAACATCCAAGTTTGAGAAAGAATAAGCCAGATTTCTTTCAGTGGAGTCCCCACTGAATTTGGGTTGCCAACGTGTGTTAGTCATAAAGTTACCTTGTAAAAGAGTTAACTCATTAAAATCTCATGAGAGAAGTCTCTTTTGAAAGTTTTCACTGTTTTTAAAACTGTTCTTTTAATGGTTCTATGGGTACAGTTGGACAAACTTAAAAGAATATAAAGAGAAAAATCGAGGTGGAAAAAGAGACTGTGCTGTTCTGAAGTTAGTCCTGAAGGATTCACCTTTCCAGTAGCTCTTATTTTATGACTGGCTTAATGCTGTACATTTTTCTCAGCATGACAGGTACAGAATGCATCTGTTCTTTTGATACTGCATGATGCTTCATATGTCTCAATATGTGCAAAAGTACTAACAGGAGGAAATGAGAGGTGTCATTGTGGAGGATGGTAGGTGCATGCGTGATAAAAGAGTATGCAGGTGCTGAGAATAGCAGGATGCATGTTCTATGTCTAAGGCTGCTCTCAATTCACTCTGCTACATCTTATAACAAATACCTAAACTGCAGTGTGTTTGGCAGTGATGAATCTACCTCTTTGTTGATGAATGCTGTATAAAGTGTTCCACTGGCATTACAATCCCTTGGAACAGTTAAGAGTGAATCTCTGAGCAATCAGCTTTTATGTAGAGAATTTGTTTTCCATCATTATCTGTGATAGGATACTGAGATATCCATCTCTACACAGTAGGGAAACATTATAGAATGCATACAGAATTATCTGTAACTCTTATAAAGTGATTTTATGGCCCATAGCAAAATTGCTTGTGTGTGACTCATATTTTTGGATTGCATTCACTTGTGCAGGAGTTGCCCTTCCTCACAAATGTTTGCTGAGACTTCTTGCCATATTGTTAGCATAATCTCTAAATTGTCTAAGGTTACTGTGCTCAGATTTCCACTGTGATGCTGGCAAGTCAGGCTGGTTTTATTTATTTTTCATTTTTACATGATTGTTCTGAAAAGGTGTTTTTTCTGTCTTTCAAGTGATACGACAGGCTATGGAAATGTCTTTGATGACAGCACAGAGTGATCTTTTCTGGGAGATGGGCTGTAGAAATGTCTCTTTTTCATATCATATACCAAATCATTCATAGGATTGTTTACTCCTGCAAACTCACTCAGGAGAAAATAGATTTAGTGTTCTATACAGAAGTAGTAATATTTTAAGGTTTTGGCCTTTCCTCTATGTAATCAGACGTCAGCTTGCAAAATGAGTCACAGCGATACACCCGGATAAAAAAAGACAGGCTTCTATTACTTGAAGAAGAAAAGAGAGTCATTCAACAGTATTGATTTGTGTGAGTCCAGTTCAGTGGTACATAAAGGGCTTTGCTTCACGGATGTTGCATGTCCTGCCCATGCAGAGCCTCAGTATCTCCAGCTCAGCTCTGTATGCAGTTATGTAAACCGATGGATGTCCATCCCCATGGCTGCTGACAGACCATTGTAAACCCTCCTCCTCTCCTGTAAGGAATGAAGGAGCTCATTAATTTTTTGCCTAGTTCATTCTGGCAGTATCAGTCTCTGCCGTAATTCCTGTATCAAATTCAGAAGAGGTGATCTGGACTGCAACAACTTCAGATGCTACTGGGGCTGCTGTATTGTAGTGCCTTTTTCTGATTTGGAAAAGAAGGGTGTTCATATATTCTCCAGCCCAGCTTTTCTCACTATAAAGCCTCAAGTGAGATGCAGAAATGCTTTGCAGCTCAAGAGTCTGGAACTGAGGGGGCATGTACAGTGAATAACAGCCTCTTTGGTCATTAACCCTGTATGCCAGTCCATAAAGAGCTCTTTGATGAGTGAATCCATGCTTAGCTGTCCTCAGGCATGACACATGGGGGACTCATAGCATGCACATGCACTTTTGGAAGTGTCTGGCAGAAAAATGGCAGCCTCTAAGGCTCTGCTTTACTTCAGTGTGCAGTCACCAGCCAGTTCCTTGTCTCAGCTGGCATCCTCCTTTGACTGTCCTTTTTGTATGGGTTTGATTTTGGGATGTGGCGGGATTGGTCTGACAGTTTAAAAGGGGCAGCCCTTCCCCTGCCAGCCACCTCTACCCATATTCCTCGCTGCCCAGTTTTTGTGTAGGCAGCAGTGCTTGTTAGCACTCATGTTGTGTGGTGGGAGGCAGATCAGTAGGGAAGTATTTAATTGTTTGGTTTGTTTTCTTTGGAGTATTTTTCTTCATGAACTGACTCAGTGTAGGAATAGATGAGTGAGCATGTGGCTGGGGTCGAGGGGCTGGGAGCTGGACTGTACAGCACCTGGCAGGACCTAACTTTCGTATTTGACCCAGAAGTGTTGCAAATCCTGACACTAAGCTGTGACAGTTGACCTTTCAGCAATCGCTCTTCCCATCTCCTACAACATCAGCTTCTGAAAAGGCCTCATCACTGGAAGAACTCATCCCTGCCTGACTGATAACTCAGTAGCATCCACTTGTTTGAAGGTGCATCTCTCTGATTTGGGAAGATGGGTGTGATTACTTGCATTAGAAAGTCAGCAGGCCACTTTACAAAGACCCTAAATACACTCGCCAAAACCATTCATGCTCCACTTATACTGCACCCTTTTTAAAACCTTTCTTTTCTTGTGACTGTTCCAAATACCATGTTAGATTAGCTGTAAATGCATAAAACATTGCTTCCATTAGAAAAAAATGTGATTATATTTGTATTTTAATAAAGCACAGTGTCTTTGAATTTCACATGACCAGATAAACAGTTTTTCTTACCTGTTTAAACAGACAGCATTGACTCCATTAATTTTGATTAAAACGGAAAACATCAGGTTATCAAATCATTAAGGAAAAGAAATAACTGGTAGGAATTTTTACTTTGGTAGATTCATCATGGTTTTAAGGAACTATCCTAGAGAGCAGTAAAGTTTACTGCTGCTATTAACCCATACGGTGTAAAGAGAAAACATATGACTGAAGTGAAAAACATAGGACATGAGGGCTAACCTTGCGTCCTTTGTGAAGGCAAGGAGCGTGAGATCTGGGATGCTTTTGCTTGTGTAAGAATTTAGGGTTTGGCCCTTGTTGATATGTTATCCAGTCATGGTTTTTATGACACAGGAAATGTCAGAAACATAAAGAACATGTCAGGGTCCATGACCAGGGAGTTAAAAATAATGGTGACATTTTCAGTTAGGCTATACAATGTTATCTCCTTAGAGTATGTAGTTTTAGTTGTTTGATTTCAGCATCGCATCTGAAAATAACTGAACACATTTATTTTCACAGTGAGGGGTCTATTTTCTCCTCTATGTGTGTGCTTTATGCCCATTAGCATTAATGGGAGTTACACACACACTTCCAGGGGAGAGGAGACTTAAATAGTCCATATAGATGTGCTCTCGTGGATCAGTAAGCACTGACTTAAAGAATGTAAATTATAAAATGAAATAAAAACCAAAACACACAAAAATCTGATTGTTTCAATGTGATAGGATAGGATCTTAAACCTGTATAACTTAACCAGAATATATAACCAGTCATTGTAAGTACATTTTACTCTCGGTAAGATCTAAATATTAAAACTTTTGCTGGCCTAGTAGCTGTGATATTATTATTCTGATAGTTTGTATAATATATTTTAGCTTCTATGGGCAGCAGAAGCTAAAATATGTTATACAGTTTGTATAATATTTTAGCTTATTTACTGGGCAGCAAGATTTCTGTATGGTAGATGTTGATTTTAACAGAACATGGACCACTGACTTTAGATTTATTCACATGTCCAGATGATTGATAGTTAGACCTAACTGCATGTCTGTTTTGTAGATATATTTTCTAGAAAGCTTGCTCCCATTGTGCACGCTTCAGTGATGTTACACAGTGGATGCTGTCATAAATATTCTCTAACAACCATGTTTGTTGCTTACCTGGCTTATTGAGAATGCTCTTTGCACCTTTGGTCGTGAAAGAAGCAGCTTCTCATCTGCCTTCCATTATTTCTCTTTTCTTTTTTTTCCCCATTTATCTCTTCCAGGTCACATTCTGCTTGCACTGTGAGTATATAGATAGAAACTGTAAATCAACAACTTATTATTTGATTGTAATGAAATACAAAGTAAGTAACTCTGCACAGGACTGCAGAGTTTGAAACTGTAATCATGAGTAGCTTAATGCAGTACATTATTTTGTTAAACTAGTTACAGGACAACCTGTTGCATCTGTTTGGCAGCCTTTCAGAGCATTGGTTCTAGTCATCCTTTTCAAAGGTAGCTATTGTGACAGGTGGAACTGGAGAAAAGTGAGGACAGTAAGAAAACGTCCTTTTCTAGACTCTCCAGGAAGGCTGGCTCTGCCAAAGAAAGCAGTTACCTGGGATTCTTGGTTCACTTATTCCCTCTGTCATCATTTCCTTACAGTGAAATCTGAATCATACGGGTGCTTATGTGATTTTGGTAGGTTTCAGAGCTACTATCGACTTGAGCCTTTTTAGTGCTGCTATGTTAGGTTGTTTGTGTACTTCCCTATTTGCTCCTTGATAGGTGTTAATCCTGTATCTCATTTTCGAGTATATGACCAGTGAGGGAGGAGCTGAAAACTGCCTGAAGTATGTGGATGAAGTGGTATAGTAAGGAATATCCCGCTGGTGCCTATAAAATAATTTCCTTTGATTTCAGCAACCTTTAACAGCTGCCCTGAGATTTTTTGGGTTCTAGACAGAAATAAGTGTATATTTGTGACCAACTCTCACATTTCAGCATGGCTCTTGAGTCACTTTTTCTGTCTAGAGTGGGAAGGATTTGTACTTTGTACTTCTGTCTTGTGATCCCTGTGTTTCACTATAGATGTCATATGGAAAACATATTCAGCATCTCTTTCATGCAGTTA